GCCGCACGTACCAGCAGCGGTGACCAGCAGGCCGCCAGCACGCACATGATGCCCAGCAGCTGGATCAGCGTCTCGGTGGTGATGCGGCCCCACTGGGCCCCGCTGGGCGCGGCGGTGGCCTTGGCTCGGCAGCGGGACACCAGCGCCTCGATGGTGGCCAGGTTACAGGCGCCGGTGACCAGCAGCGCCAGCAGCCCCAGCGAGGCGAAGGCGGCGGCGAAGGCTCTGCTATCGGCCGTGCTGATGAAGCACCAGGTGCCGGGCCATTGCAGAGCGTAGCGGCCCAGCCCGGCCAGCGGCAGCAGCGCGAAGGCCAGCCCGGCGGCCCAGATGGCGAGCAGGCAGCGCTCGGTGGCCCGCGGGCTCATGTGGCTCGCGTACCAGTGCGGGGCGCGGATGGCGAGCGCCCGCTCCACGGCCATGGCGCTGGCGATCAGCAGCGGGCACAGCCCGAACACCGTCATGCTGAAGCCGAAGAAGTCGCAGAGGCGGCCCGAGGGGTCCATGGCGGCCCAGGGCCGGCCCGACAGGTACACGGAGATGACGATGGGGCTGGTGAGCAGCTGGCCCAGCATGTCGGTGAGCGCCAGCGAGCCGATGCACAGCAGGAACGAGCGCTTCCTGCGGCTGCCCTTGGCGCGGTAGCTGCGGGACACGAGCAGCATGGCCAGGGCATTGCCCACGATGCCCGTCAGCATCATGGTCAGCGGGATGGCCACGGACACGGCGCTGCCGCGCTCCGCCGCCCGGCCCGTGCCGTTCCCCCGCGGGGCCATCCCGCCCGCAGCGCTGCCGTTGGGTGCCCGCTGCTGCCAGGGGCTCATCCCGGGGCCGGGGGATCCCGCATGGAGCGGCACCGACGGCACAGAGCGGGCACAGAGCGGGCACAGAGCGGGCACCGAGCGGATACCGAGCGGGCACAGAGCCGGGAGCGCCCGCGGACACAGCGCCGCCGCTTTATGGGAGGGACGGGCGGGATCCGCCCCGGGGCCGGGACAGGGCGGGAGCGACAGCGGGCAGGGCCTGGGGAAACGGAGAGGGGATGGAACCGGGCTGCGGGAACGGGAACCGGGCTGCGGGAACGGAGCGGGGATGGGAACGGAGCGGGGATGGAAACCGGGCTGCGGGAACGGAGAGGGGATGGAACCGGGCTGCGGGAACGGGAACCGGGCTGCGGGAAGGGATCGGGGATAGAAACGGAGCGGGGATGGAACCGGGCTACGGGAACGGAGAGGGGATGGAAACGGAGCGGGGATGGAGCGGGCATGGAAACGGAGTGGGAACAGAGCGGGGATGGGAATCGGGCTGCGGGAACGGTGCGGGAACGGGAACGGTGCGGGAACGGGAACCGGGCTGCGGGAAGGACGGAGCGGGGAAGGGAACAGAGCACCAGGAGCCCCAGGAGAGGCTGAGGGAGCTGGAAAGGGGCTCAGCCTGGAGCAAAGGAGGCTCTGGGGTGACCTTGTGGTTCTGCACAACCCCTGACAGGAGGGGACAGCCGGGGGGGTCGGGCTCTGCTCCAGGGAACAGGAACAGGAGGAGAGGGAACGGCCTCAGGCTGGACAGGGCAGGGGGATCAGGGAAAGGTTTTCCTGTCCCCAGAGGGTGCTGGCACTGCCCAGGCTCCCCAGGGAATGGTCCCAGAGCTCCAGGAGCGTTGGGACAGCGCTGCCAGGGATGCACAGGGGGGATTGTTGGGGGGTCTGGGCAGGGACAGGGGCTGGAAAAACGATCCCTGTGGCTCCCTTCCAGCCCAAGATATTCCACGATTCTGTGAAAACACCCTGAAGTTTTGCAAAAGCCCATTTACTGTTGAAACTAAAAATTATTTTCAGTACTTATAAATAATTGCAATGTGAACAGGTGGGATGCACGGGCCAGGTGGGGTCACACATGGCACGGGGTCAGTGAGGGTGACAGGGAAGTCCCGAGTGTCCCCAAGACACAGCAGACGAGCACGGTTGACTCACAGGTTTTATTTACACTTGTCTACAGCATCATTTTGCCTTACATGTTCTCTAAGCCAAATGAACCATCCTCCTCCTCCTCCTTTGCCTGTGGCCTATCAGTTGCTAAATTTAAAACCTCTCATCTGTTAAGTACAGCAACAATTGGAATACAAAGCACAAGAAAACCCAAGGCTAACAACAGAGCGTCTACTTGATCTGGTTTTACAGTTTAGTTGGACGTTGAAGTCAGAGGCACAGTTACAGACTAACCTGCTCTTGTGCAACCTACACACACTTAGCATGGAAATTAGAAAAGAAAGCATTAAAGAAACTGCATTTTTTTTTTCTGCAAAGAGATTTATCAAAATACCTCTACACCAAAAACATTTCACTTCTAGACCAGTCCGTAAGACRTGGCTCAAAAAAAAAGAAAAAAAAAAGAGAGAGAAAAAAAAGCAGAATGGAGTTTTTTCAATTTTGCTCCGTTTGTTTCTGTGCAATTTATCAAAACAAGCAGCAAATCTGGCAGTTTTATTACTGAAATAAATGCAGGTATATTGCTCTTGGCTTGCTTAAAAAGAAAAATTTTCCTTACCATACTTACCTTGTGATGGCACTGAAGAAACTTAAACCTTTCTTAACCAAAYGGAGCTCAAGAGAGACCAAGTTTTATACTCAAATGGATTCCATAAAGCATTTTAAGCCATAAATTATGTTGAAGGGAAAAAAGAATGATCGATGAAGAACACGTTGAAGATGCCAGAACTTTCTAGACAGTTTATTCCTTCTCAGTTTTAAAGAAAAATAAAATTGAGATACCTTGAAAATTTTAGTCAGCCCCAAAGGGAATTTTACAGGCGGCCTGCGGAAGCTTCCCTTGATTCCAAGGAGCCAGTTCCATACTCCTCCAGCTCAAGAGCAGATCCCAAATGATCCGTTTGTAAGGAGGGATCACGGAGTCCGGGTCTGGAAACAGCCACAGCACTGTGCTGGCTGCAAACGTCCTCACTGCCCAGGAATGGAGGTTAATTCCCTCTGTGGAATCATGATGGACTGGGGGGTTGAGCTGCTAAACAGGGGTGTCCATCTGCACTGGGACTGCTACGTGGCAAAAGAAAAAACTGCTCAGCCTAAGGCTCAGTGCTGGTACCAGCTGAGCCCAGCCCTGCCCCTGCTGTGGTCCCATGCTCTGGAAAACTCACGGCTTCCTCCTCACACAAAGAGCTGTGCCAGGACATTGCCAACCTGCTCCTCCATCTGAGGGAGCCAGGAATGGAGGAACTGATCTTCAAAAATAATAAACCCCCGCCCCAACACCGCAGAACTTCCCCCTGTGCCGGGGGGGTTTATGGCTTAAAATGCTACTGCACGTTTGGGTGATGGATGAACAAAGCTGCAGTTTGCCAGAAAGCCAGGACAGACATGCACCTCTACTAGCAGATTGAGCACTTCTGACCAAGTAAGACACCAACTTCTTAAAAATGTCTCATGCACTGACTGGAATTTTGGTGGGTTTTTGTAAATGTGAGCTTTTTCTACATTATTTCTTTTTAGAACTCGTACGGGAACCGGAATGGGAGGATCCGGAGGAAGATCTGCGGCGTCTGCAAGATACAAATGGAGAAAGCATGCACAGAAATGAGCTCCAGTTCATCCTGGCACCCACTTTGAGCAGTATCCTACCATAGCTGGAAGCCAAGTATAGCTCATAGGGGCCTTACAAGAATATACAAGTAACTTTAAGCCAATAATTTAATAATAAAAATCTAACTTTAACACTGAGAGTAGAATACAGTTTCTAAATGCAGTATTTACTTATGAAAATAATTCAATAATGAACATATTAACACTGTCACAGACTGGAAGAAGGGTGAGCCAGGTCTTTCTAYAGAACATGCTCCAACCAGGAGGGATTTCATTGGGAGGGGATTATTTTTAAAAAAAAAAACAATTACAGAGGGGCTAACARAAGTAAGAATAGGACAAGTGAGGACACTACTTTTACTATGAGAACAACTGCTCAGATTCAAACRTTTCCCAGTGAATCTCAATCCTTGGATAACTACAATAAACCATCACACATTTCAATACAGCCATTCTTATTCTACATAAACCCAAACCTTTCGGGTGACCGTGATCTCGAGCGCCTTTTTTTGCGATCACCAGAGGAAGAGGATCTAGAGCGGCTCCGCTTCTTGCCTCTCTCGGGGGAAGACGAGGAGCGAGAGCTGGAGTAAGATCTTTTCCTTGGGGTGGAAGACCCCCTGTAGGACCTGGAGCTGGATCTTTATTGATTGAGAAATAAATCAGATTTAATTCTGGGATCATGGAGAAGGCACAAAGAACAAGCAGAGACAGTTTTCAACAACATTCACTATTCTGTTTACACCAGGGGTGAGGAAAATCAACACGAGGGGTTTTCATACTTACTCTGCCAAGAACACTTCTACTGCCACGGCAGTTTTCCTAAGAAATGTTGCTAATAGTGTTTCCTGATAAATGGACCACCAATGGTSTGGAAAGCTCTTCCCAGCATTCACCAAAATGAGCCGTTTTGGCAAAAAAAAAAAAGCACTGGGAAATGGCTGGGAAGTTGCCTCTGTAAGGACCTTCCTCCACAGCGAAATTCACACCTCAGGATAACTTGGAAACCAGAGATCTAAAGCTGATTTAGATCCATTTAAAACCACGGCTCAGTTTATCTTAATATTTCACACTGCATGTTCATCTGACCAAACAGGAACAATCCAGCTGTTAAAAAGATCTCAAACTACATCTGTAAAACCTTCCTCAACCAGAATACTGCAAAAAGCCTCTTAGAATATATTTAAAAACATCTCCTGGAATACAGAGCTCCTCTGGTGGGGCACAGGGACCCTTTTTCTCCTCCCAAAAGCACAAAATCCATTCCATTCTGACCCTCACAGGATAAACCACAGCACATCCCTGCTACCAAAGGGTGGTGGCACCATTTGTGATTGTTCTTCCCAAYTCAAGCTTCCTTATTTAGAGTTTTGGGATTCTCAGCATGCATGGAGAAGGGACAGCTCCTGATTCCATCACAGAGGGAACGTTCTGCCAGTGGAGTGTTTGTGCAAGGACACCTCCAATGTGCTTTTGTCCCTGTCCAGGTGAGTGAGTGCCCCACACAAATCCCTCACACTGCTCTCAGCCTCTCCCTGCATTTCCCTGCAACCCCCTGGGTTTATATGGAACGGCTGCACTGTCTTGTGGAAAGTGCAGAATGATCACTGAACACACAACCAGAAATACAGTGGCATTTACAAAGTTCCTCCAGCTCAAGCAGCACCAGTGGAACCAGGAAAAGCCCCCAAATGCCTGCAGCAGGGAACCATGCACTCAAATCCTTCTTCCTCCACTGCAGCTCGGTGGCGTCCACTCATCCAGCCTAGGCCAGACTTAACCTCCTGCACCACACGGCTGGGGTGCCAACATCTGGTGCAGAGAGCCAGCAGCTCTGACTTCCAAGATAAAAAGCAGTTAATGTTTGTGTGAGCAGCACAGCCTGACGCAGGGATCAAAGCAGTTGGTGCCTCTGCCCTTCTGTCTGTGCAAGGACAGGGTGGTACCTCATTCACCTGGATTTGGACCCACGAGATCGCGACTGCTCCCTCGAGCTGGAGCGGGATCTTGATCTGGAACTGGAAGAACTCCTGGAATGGGACCTGCAACAACATGGGAGATCTTTTTCCAGTGTCTGACTGGCATTTAGGAGTTACTGCTCCTGAGAGCAGCAGACATGAGGCAGCAACACAGTCTGAGTCCCTAAAATGCCAATCCCCTCCTGCCCCCAGCATCACCACTGCACATTTTAAACCAGACACTTTTACACAGCAAGATCTTGCATTTAAAACATTATCAAGTCAGCTTTAGATATGGTTCCTAAAACAAAGCACAACAATGAAACAGGACTGCAGTTACTTGGCAGAAAGRAATAACTTCATATYTATTCATTATTTCATGAAATCAATGCCTGAATTTGTGCCTTAACTGGAAARCCATCAGTTTCCTTGAAAGACAGGAAGGATGAGAGCCTTGGGACTGGTCAGCTCAATTTTTCCCCAGCCAGCTCTCACAAGCACTTTGTAATCAGCTTCAAATTTCCATCAAGAATTAAAAATTAAGCAGTTAAGTTGGGGGTAAAATACAGCCATATCCAACACGATTTGTTAAGTGGCCAAAATGATTTCCCAAKTTTTCACTGATGGATTTTCTTTAAAGCACAAACCACAAGAGAAAGTTAACAGTGGCAGCAGGCTCCAGCAATCACTGCAAATGAAAGCACTGTAAACAATTTCTAATAATATTTTCAGGAAAAATACATTTTACTTGCTCTCAAACTCTCAGTTTATATTGTTACCATGACTTTCTCATTTGACTGGGCAGGACACAGCAAAGTCAACATTTCCTAGCTTGAAAATACATTTAAACCTTTTTAAAACCTCCAAAATAGCATTCACAAATGACAACTGATATTTCCAATTATCTGTAGCTAGAAAGTTCAAGAAGAAGTTGAAATTTAAGACAGGACAAGTTATTTTTTATTTCACTGTTAGTATTTGTGAATTAGTGATCAAATTTATGGGCAAGTGAGGCTGCTGAGTGTCTTTGGAGCCTCCCACCAAAGAACTGTACTTCCACTGCTCCGAGGAGTGAAGGAGGGGAGGCTGAGGAACAGAAGAGGCAGCAGGATTTGGGCAGTGACAGCACTGAGAGCACAGAGGGGCARTGATAAAGCTGGGAAGATTAGAAGAAATTTAATATTCACATAGATGAATTTAATAAATGACCCTGGGAGATTATTGTGATTAATCAGGATGCTCCTTGTGTGAGCTGTAAGGCAGCTCAAAAGCTCCAGTATTAATGACATCACCCGATTTCAAAGCATTGACTGAATTGTTAATTTATTACTGAATTAAAAAAGTAATGAGASAGCTTAAGTCTGCCCAGCAGACCTTTGTGTGGTCCCACAAAAAGCTTCAGTGTTATTAGAGAATTCCAGGCTGGTTTAGGTTGGGAGGGACCTTAAAGCCCATCTTATTTCACTGATCCACGGGCAGGGACACCTTTCACCAGACCAGGCYTTGGACACTGCCAGKGATGGGGAGGTTCTGATGGGAWTCTTMTGACAACACTGCCACTGCATTTAAAGTTCTGTCATTTGCCATTAAACCAAATTCAAGTTTCTGATCTTTATTCCCAGAATATTCCCACTGTGTCCTTTCCCTGCCTCTCCTGCCACCTCCTCTCAYTCCTGCARTGCCACCCTCTGTTYAAYTACTGAACCACACACRGCCAGCAAGCCTGAARAACCTGAAAATAAATGACATTATTCAATTTATTGGAAGGATTTAATCAAACACAGAACAAACAACAATGCCCACGGAGCCTCCCACGGCTCAGGCASAGCATCACCACCCCTGCAAACGGAGAGTTATGCACATCATTAACTACAACTGTAAAGCAATCAAGACAAAGTAAATAAGGAAGTCAGATACTGACATTTTGCCTGGCGTYACCCTGGACCTGTACCCGTTTACCTGGACCTAGACCTTGAGCTCGAGTGAGAGGATGAGCGCGAGGACGAGCGCGAGTGGGAGGAGCGGGACTTGGAGCGGCTGCGCCTCGGSGGCTTCTTCTTCTTGTTGGTGTCCTCCTCCTCACTGGCGTCCAGGTTGTACTTGGACAGGTCAGCATCATCTTCATCCTCGTCCTGGGAYACACACACAGCACACAACACACTCAGAAAATGATTTACTTTCCCTTCAGTGTTTACTTATTCCAGCATTTATCTCGTGCTGCTTTCCGACCTTTGAAAATTGAACTGAATTTGATGAAACCCCACAATTGGGGCTTCAACCAAAGTAATAAAAACCCTGCAACACACCCCATTATTTAATGACATTAATAGGAACACAAACACCTTTTTACCACTTTAAATGAATTTTCACAATCCCTAAGCAGGGCCCAACTCTGCAGAGACACGTCTCATATGCAAAGTTTGTGACTCCTGTGCAAAACATGACCATCTGCACRTGTCTCTGCAGGGCTGCTGTCCAAAGACGTGGAAAATTCAATAAGTGATGCTCATATAGCTCAGAAAAGATGAAAAAAAACCCCTCAGAACATTTAATTTAATTTTATAAAAAATAAATCTGATGTGGTTTTAAAAGCCAAAGAAGAAAACTCAAGAGCACTGGCTATACAAGGTAACCACACATCCAGGTTTCAAAGAAAGATCTTGGAATTTTGTGTTCTGATCTCAGATAAGCTTGTAATCTATGATTTAAGAMACTGCCCATTTTTGAGTGCAGGTATTCAGAACAAAGCAGAGCTTGTGCACATCTTTTCCAGCAGCGCTGGGCACCATTATTCCCAGAGTTCTGCTCTGCAGGCAGCTGAAAACACTGAGCAGCACTGAAATCATGATTAAAAACTGCTCTAAAAACAACAAACCATCCTACCTCATCCAATTTATACTTGGAGAGATCTTCATCCTCATCCTCCTCATCCTCCCCCTCAGATTCCTTATCTTCCACTTCCTTCAGGATAGAGGCGGGACCCACAGGYTTCCCACGGTACTTTTTCTTTTTGCGCCCAAACTGAGGAATTTTATACCAGGATTAGAACAGGATTTATTCAAAAATAATCAAAAGTGCATTTTTTGATAACATTTCTATAAGAAAATAGAAGTCATCATAGAAGAAAATAAACAGTCATCAATTTAAAACAAGATCTTGCTCCAAGGAAAAGCAGAGCATAATGGAACATCAATTAGCGACAAGAAATTTTTAAAAAGATGTTTGCTGTTGGGACAGTGAGACTCCACAGAAAATGGGAACTTGAACATTTTGAATTTCAATTCTATGGGATATCCTAAAAAAACACAAGAATCTCTCCAGAGTAATCCCTGCCCTTCTCTTACCTCATCATACTCCCCGTCGGACTCCTCCCGCTCTATGTATTCCACGTTCTCCCGTTCATTGAATCCTCCTCCATAGCCTTGAGAAAARGGCAAAACAACACCACAATCTGGAGCTGCACCAAACTCAGCTGCCTGGAGCACATAAAYGTCCACAGGGGCTCTGGAAACCCTCGTGGAATTATAAATCTGAATTATAAAGGACGTTAACAGGATCTCAGGAGGAACATGAATTGCTCCCACACACGCTTATTAAATGCAGTTCCTCAGAAACCCAATTAAAAAAATGGATTAGGACCCACCAGCAGCACAGCAGCAGGAATGTTTCAAGGAATGGAAAAAGAATTAAAAATGTTTCTGGATTACAGCTGTGTTGAGAAGCAGCTTCCCAAAGCTCCTGAAGCTGCCTTGGGGTGGGTACACACAGGGATGTTTTTAGGGCTGGGATGGAGGGCACCACCTCAAAAACCAAAATCCCAATTTCTGCCTTCAGAATCCTCCCATTCCTTCTCACAACAGAATGGAAAACTTCAGGGCTCATTTCCATTCCAGCTGACTTTGCCATTTACTGCAGGAGTGTGCAATGTGCTGGGGCCAGACTCAAATAATTAATGAAATATTAAATATTGGAGA